TTCTTACACCAGTTAACAGGGTTTTACTGTAGGTTGTATTAAACTTTCCTGTTGTTGTCTGTTCTTACACCAGTAAACAGGGTTTTACTGTAGGTGGTATTAAACCACCCTGTCATTGTCTGTTCTTACACCAGTTAACAGGGTTTTACTCTAGGGTGTATTAAACTACCCTGTTGTTGTCTGTTCTTACACCAGTAAACAGGGTTTTACTGTAGGTTGTATTAAACCACCCTGTTGTTGTCTCTTTTTACAGACACTGGATGACCACAGTCATATGGTTTTTGTACAGAACCATATCCATGAAATTCTGGAACTCCTGGTGGAGCCGGGTAAGAACGTGATAACCCTTCTCTAACTCCTGTTGTAGCCGGGTAAGAATATGATAACCCTTTCTCTAACTCCTGGTGGAGCTGGGTAAGTATGTGAGGACCCTTCTGTAACTCCTGGTGGAGCCGGGTAAGTATGTGAGGTCCCTTCTCTAACTTGTGTTGCAGCCAGGTAAGTATGTGAGGACCCTTTCTCTAACTCCTGGTGGAGCTGGGTAAGTATGTGAGGTCCCTTCTGTAACTCCTGGTGGAGCTGGGTAAGTATGTGAGGTCCCTTCTCTAACTCCTGTTGTAGCCGGGTAAGTATGTGAGGACCCTTCTGTAACTCCTGGTGGAGCTGGGTAAGTATGTGAGGACCCTTCTGTAACTCCTGGTGGAGCTGGGTAAGAACATGATAACCCTTTCTCTAATTCCTGGTGGAGCTGGGTAAGTATGTGAGGACCCTTCTGTAACTCCTGGTGGAGCCGGGAAAGAACGTGAGAACCCTTCTCTAACTCCTGGTGGAGTGGGGTAAGAATGTGATAACCTTTCTGTAACACCTGGTGGAGTGGGGTAAGAATGTGATAACCTTTCTGTAACTCCTGGTGGAGTGGGGTAAGAATGTGATAACCTTTCTGTAACTCCTGGTGAAGTGGGGTATTAATGTGATAACCTTTCTGTAACTCTTGGTGGAGTGGGGTAAGAATGTGATAACCCTTCTGTAACTCCTGGTGGCGGGGGGTAAGAATGTGATAACCCTTCTGTAACTCCTGGTGGAGCCGGGTAAGAATGTGATAACCTTTCTGTAACTCTCGGTGGAGTGGGGTAAGAATGTGATAACCCTTCTGTAACTCCTGATGGAGTCGGGTATTAATGTGATAACCTTTCTGTAACTCTTGGTAGAGTGGGGTAAGAATGTGAGAACCCTTCTCTAACTCCTGGTGGAGCCGGGTAAGAATCTGATAACCTTTCTGTAACTCCTGGTGGAGCCGGGTAAGAATCTGATAACCCTTTTGTAACACCTGGTGGAGTGGGGTAAGAATATGATAACCCTTTCTCTAACTCCTGGTGGAGCTGGGTAAGAACGAGAGAACCCTTTTCTAACACCTGGTAGAGTGGGGTAATAATGTGATAACCCTTTCTCTAACTCCTGGTGGAGCCGGGTAAGAATGTGATAACCCTTCTCTAAATCCTGGTGGAGTTTTCTTGCTACTGGTGAAATCGACATCAATTTTGTGGACAACTCGTACTCATTTTACACCTTTGTGTGCATACGCTTCACTGGTCATTTGTCTGATGGAGGTGACAGTGTACATACGCTTCACTGGTCATCTGTCTGATGGAGGTGACAGTGTACATACGCTTCACTGGTCATCTGTCTGATGGAGGTGACAGTGTACATACGCTTCACTGGTCATCTGTCTGATGGAGGTGACAGTGTACATACGCTTCACTGGTCATCTGTCTGATGGAGGTGACAGTGTACATACGCTTCACTGGTCATCTGTCTGATGGAGGTGACAGTGTACATACGCTTCACTGGTCATCTGTCTGATGGAGGTGACAGTGTACATACGCTTCACTGGTCATCTGTCTGATGGAGGTGACAGTGTACATACGCTTCACTGGTCATCTGTCTGATGGAGGTGACAGTGTACATACGCTTCACTGGTCATCTGTCTGATGGAGGTGACAGTGTACATACGCTTCACTGGTCATCTGTCTGATGGAGGTGACAGTGTACATACGCTTCACTGGTCATCTGTCTGATGGAGGTGACAGTGTACATACGCTTCACTGGTCATCTGTCTGATGGAGGTGACAGTGTACATACGCTTCACTGGTCATCTGTCTGATGGAGGTGACAGTGTACATACCCTACACTGGTCATCTGTCTGATGGAGGTGACAGTGTACATACCCTACACTGGTCATCTGTCTGATGGAGGTGACAGTGTACATATCGTACTAGTCATCGACATATCACATAATGATTTGTAGTATTTAATGAGAATACTTAATAACGATTGCTTAAATGTCGAGGTGACTGATACAGGCCCTTTGACAGCTGTCAGATCTTTCTCGATTGTACGGTTGTTCAGTATTAGTAGTTATAAAGGCAGTAATACACCTATTTAACCATGACCCCTGGTATTTATAGATCTACTGTGTCTTTCCTACAGATGTTCTGAGTAGCGTGGGTCCTGGTGACCAGGCTGTTAGTCTGGTGGCTCTGGAGGCACTTGGATTTCTCGTCGCTGGATCTGTGGATAAGTGCAAGTAAGTTGTGATTTCCCCAAAATTATATCATTTGGACTGTTTTCAAAGTAGTCATGAACTATTGTGATGCCTGTCCATGTCTCTGTTGATGTCTACCACTGGTTAACTTTTGGTAATTGAAGTGAGGGTCCGCTATTAAACAGCACCATGTGAGAGAAACAACAAACCAAAATGGCGTACTGTAGCAATTCACAATTTGTTGATGCTATAACGTCACTGTTGTACACTGGCAGTAATCACAAATCCAATCCATTACACTACTTCCCATTTCTTTTTCATTTCACAAAAAAAGTTTTAAATTGACACCATCATTAATCGTCATATCTTGATGGTCCCTGCCATAACATGACATTGGTTTGTGTGGACTACGTGTCCTCGACATATCCAATGATACTGCTGACTTGGGTCGAGAATGCGGTGTCAGATTCCAGTGTGTGTGAATGGCGATGATTTCAGTGTTGCAGGACCTTGAGTCCCAGATAAATCCACCGAGTCCATTTTCCAAGGTTGGTGGTCTGTCTCCTGTTCCAGGTCTGATCTCACGGGTTGTTTTACTAGTTTGTATGGACGCTGAGACCCGACCATTCCAATGATTCTTTTGCTTTTGGAGGTGGACTTGTTTTTTCCACAGGATTCTTCCTTCTCTGCCTCAGGGTCAACTTATGGATTATCATCGCTGCTGCCCTTGTGATTGCCCTTGTACACCAGTGATCGCCCTTGTACACCAGTGATCGCCCTTGTACACCAGTGATCGCCCTTGTACACCAGTGATCGCCCTGCCAGTTAATCCACTGTGGTACTGAATCGGTCAGACATAGTTTTAGACATTGGTGACAATGCTGGCCATGGCCTCAGAGGTTACAACTTGGGGTTCTTTCCTATTTAACATGGCATAGTAATATACCATTACGAGGTTAAAGCTAATATACAAGACTCCCATTGAGGATTTCCATGCCATTGGTATTGGGGCCTGTCTAGTGCTTTGCATACCAAGCAATGGCATGATTGTAAGGATTGCTTCAAATTTTCAACATAGCCTCTAACTTCCATACTATCTTGATCTTCCTTCACCAATCCAAATATACTTCACCAATCCAAATATAGAGACTTCCATGTGATCTTGTTCTTCCTTCACCAATCCAAATATACTTCACCAATCCAAATATACTTCACCAATCCAAATATAGGGACTTCCATGTGATCTTGTTCTTGCTTCACCAATCCAAATATAGGGACTTCCATGTGATCTTGTTCTTGTTTCACCAATCTCTGTGTAGAATTGGGAATTGTTGATGCACTCCAATCGATCAACAGACCACAGCACTGGCCTCTGCCTATTCACACAATAGGATAGGGGACAGATAGGGGACAGATAGAGGACAGATAGGGGACAGATAGGGGACAGAGTTTACTCTTTTCAGTGCAATCCATTGCTGATAGAATGTAATGTTCTTACCCCGTATTTCTGTACCTTTTCAGTATATAAAATTGAATTGGAGTAGATACCTTCACAACTTTTAACAGTGTATCATGATAAATTAATGTATTTATTTTTGTGGTTTTTGTGGTTACAGTTGAGGAAAATATTAGTACAACTTCAAAAGTACCACCAACCAAAGTTTGTACTGTTGAAATAATAATAGATGTAAAACTTTAAGTTGGCATCAATAAAATCTTTGATTACATAAAAATGTGAAAGTTATTTATAAACATAGTTTATAGACTGAAGATATGAAATAAAACCAATATTAGAATAGTATTTACTATACTTTAAATGGTAACAAATATTATGTAACTTCTAGGTCTCTGTTGCCCATACAAGATATAGCCCTGCTTCAAACTGTACAACACCGCACTGGATACTCTAAGGTAGGTAACCAGATTAGTGTGTCACTGATTCAGTGTAGCCTAAGCTACTTGTCAGAGATGTTTTACATCACTGTTCAGTGTAGCCTAAGCTACCTGTCAGAGATGTTTTACATCACTGTTCAGTGTAGCCTAAGCTACTTGTCAGAGATGTTTTACATCACTGTTCAGTGTAGCCTAAGCTACTTGTCAGAGATGTTTTACTGTTCAGTAACTATTTGTAATTGAAGGTGAACTTATCATCAGAATTACAGTCAAACTTCAATGTTTCGAACTTAGTGGGATCTTCTTGAAAATTTGAAACATTGGGACTTCGACTCATAAATATTGAACATCGGACATCAAGCCTTTACATAAGAAGACACGAAACACAGGCAAAGGAAGTGAATTTCAAATGTATAATTATAGATTTACAGTTATAAAGAAGAGCATATTTATATACACACTGTAGTTTACATTGTGATCTTATTAAATTCAACATTTTAAGGTCACCTGAGCTTTAGTGACCTTTTGCTATCCGTCTTTGTCGGTCGTCCGTTAACATTTTACATTTTCAACTTAAGCTGAAATACTGTCGAAGGGATTTCATTGATACTTCATGGGAATGTTACTGACTAATCCCTGACCAAGTGTTGTTATTTTTTTCGGCCGATTTAACTGAAACTTTGTAGGAATGATTGACTCATGGTCCACGGCCGCCATTTTGAAAACCATTTCAAACTTATAGTCCAGTTCTACTGGGCCAATTTAACTGAAACTTAGTAGGAATGAACGACTCATGGTCCTGACAGTGTGTTGTTATTTTTAGGGTCGATCAGAAATTCATTATGGCCGCCAATGCCACCATTTTGAAAAACTATTTCAAACTTAAAGTAAAGATCTACTGGGAGGATTTAACTGAACCTTGGTAGGAATGATTGCCTCATGATCCTGACAAAGTGTTGTTATGCCCCGCTCTGACTGTGGAAAAAAACGAGAAAAAAACCGTAATTATCTGCTGGGTTTTGTTTCTGTGCAATAACTACAACAAATATTAACCGATTTTCTTCAATCTTGGTCATAGTGTTAAATGCCTTAAGGGCTCAGCAAAGTATGATGACCTTTTTCAGCGGACTTTATTTGGCGGAGTTATGGCCCCTTGAATAACGAAAAAGAACATTATATTCAGTTTCTGTTCATTTACTCTCGCAAATATTATCCGATTGTCTTCAAACTTAGTAACAGTTCAACGCATTAAGGGCTCGGCCAAGTTTGACAACCACTTTAATCGGACTCCATTTGGCAGAGTTATGGCCCCTCGATTAACAAAAAACGTCATTATCTGCAGTTTCCGCTTAATAACTCTAGCAAATATTAGCCAAATTCCTTCAAACTTGATAACAATGTTTGTGTTCCTCTGTCTTTCCATCTTTCTCGGGCTTTCTTTGGTTAATGTGTGATAATTGCTGTAGATATTGTTAAGTTGTTTCAACCAAATTCCTTATGCTCATGCTAAGTTTGCCAACCGATGTGATTTGTGCATATTTACGGATTATCAATGAGGTATAGGACCAATCTGATTAAAATCATATCCTTCGTTCTCTACGTATCACGTTACGTGATACGTAGAGAACGTAGGATATGATTTTAATCAGATTGGTATAGGACTATCTTTTTTTTTTCAAGTTTCAAGCTACCGGTATACATTATGTCTCAACAGCACGATACTCACATGTTAAAACCTAACCTCAATAGTGTTAACCTACAATATGTCCTGCGAGCGGGGGATATAAATTCCATGAATTTGCTTCTTATTTTTCGGGTCGATCAGATATCCAATATGGCCGCCAATGCCGCCATTTTGAAAAACTATTTCAAAATTAAATTAAAGTTCTACTGGGCGTATTTAACCGAAACTTGGTAGGAATGATCGACTCATGGTCTTGACAAAGTGTTGTTATTTTTTGGGTCAATCAAAAAACCAATATGGCCACCGATGTTGCCATTTTGAAAAACTATTTCAAACTTAAAGTCCAGTTCTACTTGGCCGATTTAACTGAAACTTGGTAGGAATGATCGACTTATGGTCCTGACAGTGTTTTGTTCTTTTTCAGGTCGATCAGAAATCCAATATGGCCTCCAATGCCGCCATTTAAAAAAAACTATTTCAAACATAAAATCCAGTTCTACTGGGCCAATTTAACTGAAACTTGGTAGGAATTATCAACTATTGGTCTTGAAAAAGTGTTGTTATTTTTTAGGTTCGATCAGAAATCTAATATGGCCACCACAGCCGCCATTTTGAAAAACTATTTCAAACTTAAAAACAAGTTCTAATAGGACGATTTAACTGAAACTCAGTTTAGGAAAGATCAACTCATGGTCCTGACAAAGTCAAATTTACATTATACTTAACTATTTTTTATTCAAATTTGTAGGGATGATTGACATCATTATCTCCACTTCATATTTTAACAACAAAAATAAATACTGTAGGACTCTGGTGACCGTTAAGGCCCATGGGCCTCTTGTTTCGTTTGCCAATTAAATTTCCGAAGCCTGAAGCCCATATTGATGTGGTCAATCATGTGGCTGACACTGATCCAGTCGGTCGCTTGTATATTTTGTTTTTGTTTTTTTGTTTATATGCCATTAAATTTTAATAAAATGCACACAGGTAAATTAATAATATCATGAACCAGTAAACATAAATATGAGTTGTACATACAATTTCTTTGACATGGACACAGGCCATTTTACGATAGAAAAGTACCTCCGGTAAATGTATCTTACGGAATGTTCAGATAAAACGAACAAGATATACAGTAATTGTACGATTGTTAAATGAATGCATGTGCAAACATTAAAAGCACTATTACTGACTGAATCGGAATGCATTGTAATAATAAACAGTTCAATGCACACTATGTAATTTGTCCATTCAGCACTAATACCATTAACAGATTGCATGACACTTAGCACAGAAATTTAGTCACTCTTCAATCTGCTGACGAAGAAGTCCTCCGTGGTACTCTGTTTTCCGTCCAAACCAAGGAGATTATTATATTCATGCCTTTTTCAACATCAATTAATGCCTGGTACTTTACTTCCCCTCCCCCCCTGCTTAACACGGGTCCTTCACTAGATTGCTCAGCTGGAAATGATTGCCTAGCTATCCCCCCGGGTTGGTTACCGGGTCCTTCACTAGACAGATCATGATCAGTGAGAGATTCCAGGATTGCTTGGAAAAATATTCTTTACCATCGTTTATATATATTTTCATGACATGTGGCCCGTTGAGTTTGAGCAAAAGCTACAAGCTCTATTTACAGTGCTGTAATGTACCTAGACACAGATGGCGGCGAAGATCAACGCTAATTGATTATCACTATGCATCATGTGTACTTCACACTGTTGTATTTAAGAAAAAAATAATGAGTTAATCAGTGTTAGTTGATTTACCTGTAAATACCGCGTTTGTAAACATGGTCGCCAGTACTTTTCTCTGGATACATTTTTGACTCCGATTTATTTGTTTTAATTTTCAATGTTTTCAAAACGAACAGGTCTTGCTTATACTTCGAAACAGCGAGAAATTTCGCTCAGGAATAGAAAATTGGTAGACATTGTCGTAAGTTTGACACATGTCTTCCAAATGCAGATATAGAACCAAGATAAGGAAAAACACAAGAACAATTTGTTAGCGGTACAAGTGATTCCCTCAGTTATGACAGTACCTGG